ACACTCTGCACCAGGATAAGAAATATGAGGAGACATGGTCTCACTTTTCAGTTTACATGCTCTGTGCTGTATGTAGTTCAGCTTTTTAGCCACTGTATGCTCAGCTCATGTTTTGTTATAGCAAAAGACGTAAGCAAGTATCTACATCTTTTACTGAGAATACACATGTAGGAGTCCCAAGTCTGTCATCATTTCAGTAAGGACAGACGTGCATGTCTCTGCCAGAATGAGACAGAGTCTGGAGCTATCCATTCTGTCTGAGGCTAGTTTTTATGTTGCCAAAACATAACTGTGTCTCCTGCAAACTTGAGGTCCTCTAGGTGAAAGCAGACAACATTGGTGTGCAGTTATTTTAACCATTAAGAGTTCAGACACCCTTATACTGGGGAATGGGGCGTATGGGAAAAAACTCTTCCCAAACCTGCTCATGCTTCAAGCCAGCAGCTCAGGGAAAGCTACGTAATGTGGCATTGCAGACTACACCCCTAGCAGCCTAGGCGTAGCGGCTATTTGGCAGAAATAAACCAGCTTCAGTTGTACTTGAGGATTTTTTTAGCTCCAGAGCAGAAAGAGAACATTGTACTAGCTGTTGGCATCACCAACAGGGTTCGTGAGGCAAACCTTTAAGTTGTTCTTGAGGATCTTTGATTCTACGATCTTGCTATTAGCAGATGTGCTCTAGAAGGACCTTATCTACTTGAAATCCAGCTGGTCTGGAAACAAAAATCTTGAATTTACCAACAGAATGCTCTGTGCAAGGATATAAGACTCTTCCCCCTCCATTTCTTTTCATTTAGGAAAGTTAAATTCCCTCTGATGAAATGAAAGGCCCCATTACATGGAAGGCAGGCACGACTGGAAGGACTCCATCTCACAGACTGTTTGTTGACACTGACCCACTGTGTTGGCAGCAAAGCTAATGTATTGACATTGCAATTTAGCTGCCACTAAAAATAGGTAGCCCTGACTTTTGTGCTCTAACTCAAAATTCAGTTATAGTTAGGACTTACTCCATTTTTAGCTTATTGAAATGAGTAATCAAAAAAGCAGGTGGTGGTGGTGGGGAAGTGGAGCATACCCTGCAATTTTAAATAGTGACTATTTCATATAAATTATTTATATACCAGCATTGTGGTGTTCACCTTCAAGCTGGGTAGTCTGGTCTGCTAATTATCACACACAATTAACTTCACAAGTAAGTGTCAAAACACTAGTTTTGAATTAGTAGGGCATAGACAAATGTTCCCAGCTGGACATTACAACTGTGTAGAAATGATGCTCAGATGTTTATACAGATAGTTGAGGTGCTAGCCCCGAGGGTGGAACATGGGAGCTGCTTAATAGAAAGACTCAAGAGAATATATTCAGCGAAAAATCTCACTACCATAGAACAAATCCTTTCTACAGCCACAAAACCAGTTGTTCCTTTGGTTTTCAGCCACTAACTTAGCACAAGACTTCTGTTTCATGGAGAGAGGACACCTGCCCACATTGAATATCCCACTTGTTTTTCAGTACTGCCAAATAAAAGGCGTAACTCTGAGCATATGTATTTCATAGTCTATAAAAAATACTGCAATCCTGTAGCATTCAACATTTCATATAACTATACCAACATCAGATCGTGAATGAAACAGGTTTGAGTTAAAAGATGCTTGTGCTAGCCTCGCAGTATGAGGAACAGGCAGGATTGTTACTGGCAGTACAGGGGCTTGCTGTGACATTGCAAACGTCTCAGAGACCTGTCATCATTTCAGCCTCTTTCTTCAAGGTTCTTACTCCTTGGTGCTGGGTTTAAGGACAGTTACCTGAGTGTGCTTCTGACAGCTTTTCATAACTTTGCTCTAGACATCTCCTAACTTAACTACTTTTGCCTTAGTGAAATGAACAAAATTTAGACACCTTAGCCCATTTCTAAGTGATTCTCGGTTGATTAGCTGAGATAATCTGACTGCTAGTTTTAACACTTTCTAATATTCTTATAGTGTAGTGTATGTCAGTCCTTACTGCCAGGAAAGTTTTGTCACTGGGCTGACTGAAGACAAAATAACACCAAGGATGCCTATTAAAATTGCCTTCCTTAAAAATGGAAGGTAACTTTACTGCATAGGTGTGGTTTCTTTCCTACAGGCTTGTTTGGTTCTTTCCTTAGGGAAGGAATAAAGGCAGATCCTTTTCTTTTCTTGAAGAAATACTGAATGGCATTAATACAGGTGAACTGAGAACTCTGATAGAAACTTATTCAATGAACACTGTGAAATATTATGCAAGGCTTATCACTTGTAACAATCACTAAAAACTGTTTAGAGGCTCTATGTTTCCAGGAAATAAGTATGATAAAATATATTTATCACATTAAATTCATAATTAAAAAATGCTTGACTTCATTTATTTGTAGCATTTCTCATTGATGCTCCCTCAGGGCAAGTTCTGCCTGCACAAGGTTCTGTGCCAAGCCCCTGTGGCACAGGACTGATTTTAGACACAAGTAGTCCAGATATCTTAGGCCTAGCACTTCCACCTGTTGCCATGACGGTAAATCACAATCACTAGGATATTGAAGGATTTTAATCCAAATATCCTTACCCTTATGTATGGGTTTGCTACAGGGCAAAACGCAAACTGCCAGGGAAGTTGGTCCCAACTATAATTTAAAAAAAAGAAAACCCTGAAACCAAGCCCCACTTCCTTTCCAAAAGGCTTTCCTCTTTTGTATCCAGATACCCAGCCTTAATGCAAAGCACATGCTGGCTTACTACTGGGAACTTGGGCTTAATGCGGTAAATGGCTATTACACCTGAAGTGATATTCATTAGACAGAGGAAAGACAGCTACTTGGGGTAAGCATCCTTCCTGGGGCCAGCGCTTGTGCTCTCCGAGCACAAAGCATAACAGTGGAGTACTTGGAATTAGCTGAAACAGGCAACACATTTGGTTTCAACTGTAGCATTAATTATGTAAAATATATTATCTCTGGAAAAATGTTTACTCATTGTCAATACACACTTATCCAGAGAATGTCAACATAGTTACTCTCCTGTTCTTGTGACATTACCAGTCCTGTGTATGAAAGGTCCAGCCTTTCAGGCCTCTTCCCCCTGAGCAGAGCCCTAAACCCAAGTTAAGCTTTCCCCCCTGTGTGTGGCTAGTGCTTAAAAACAGAAATCCTCTAATACAGCACACACAGAGCTGCTGCAGGTAGTCAACAAAAAGATTCAGCTAAAAGGGATGTTAGTCAACTTGCCCGTTCATTGACTCATACATCCTATTTTACCTTACAGGAAAAATATGCAACTAGAAGACTTTTCTATTACAGGCACAGTAGCTGTCTCCTGGAATTGATGCTCAAGTTTCCTTCTAGATCTGCCAACATGCACTCACACACATTCACTCTCTCTTCCTCCCTCTAGTCCCTATTAGAATGGGGGTCTCATATGCTCATTTCCTCTAATGACTATTTTAAAATTTACTCCTCAAACAAAGCAATGAATAGAGATAACAGCACGTGACATTAGATGGTCTTGATTTTGCCAATAGCAGCCCAACAGAAAAAGACTTAATGGTTAAAAAAGTTGGACTCACTGGTTTGTGAATGGCTGTGTTTAAGAATGTAACCCCTCTTAACTTCTTTACACCATGGTACAGTATAATTCACTCAGCCTAAGAGGAGGATAATGACAGCTTTATACAGGATCTCACATCACACCTCCAAGTTTTCTTCTTATCTCAAAGGTTGCACCGCGCATTAAAGCAATAGTCTGTATTAATCCAACCTCTGACATTTAGGCCGTATTAACCCACCAATGCAGGTTTATGTATCTCACACCTCAGACCCTATCAAGAAATTTGGCAGTGGCAGCTTGATAAGAACACCATACCTTACTGAACTTGTTCTAAAAACAACATCAGCAAAACACTCCTCTGGTTGCACTTTTTAATGACCTTGCTCACTGGTGCTCACTCTTCTTTAGTAATTGCCCATATGGGTAGTCCACGCGTCTGCAGCATCAGAAATGCTGTAAGAAAGGAGCACTGAAAATTCCCATTTTTCTGTAAAAATATTAGCACCCAGAGGGGGGGATGAAATCTGTGGAAAGTCTACAAACTGGAAACTCAAGTTGTTCATTTTTATATGGGAAAATAATAGTTAAAAACAGGGTTATGTTTTCAATGAGACTGACACTTTTTTTTTTCCATTTCTGTACTGAACTAATTAACAAACAATCTTCATTACCAGGTACTTTACAGTGAAAATTCTACCAGAAGGATGTTTCTGGTATTGCAACAGTTTAAGCAACTGTTTAAGTACTGTTTATAGTACATTCAGATTCTTTTTTTTCATGTGGTATAGATACTGAAATAACATGCCTCAAATTGTGTATTATCACAGCTTCCCAGGCTGGGATCTGTATTCAAACGTGTGTTTCAAAAGAAGGAGAAAATAACAAAATTCTCTAAACTTAGTTTGTTTCAAGAAAGCTGGGACCATTCTAAGGAGACCTGCAAGTGCATCGTCTTAATTCCACAACAGAGTGGTTCAGGCAGGCAGCATTTACTGCTGTAATGTTTATATGCCTTTTCAAAAAACAATAAAAATAATTAAAACTATACTTTCAGAAAATCTTAAAAGCCTGCAGATGGGGATTCTGTCTTTTAATTTCACCCTTACTTAGACAACTTCTTATTATGTTGAAAACTTTTTGACTGTTGATTAAACAATGATAGTGACTATCACAATTAAAATACAGACAAAAGTCAAGTCAGCTGTTTTATTAAATACACAAGTTTTAAAAACTTTTAGAGAGGCTGGATAATGAATACACTGAGAGCACATGACTGCACAACTTAAGAAACAAATGCTTCAAAACTGCATAACAGGTTCTTGAGAGATTCCTTTTCACACTTGTCCAGTGATATTTTTAGGAACTACAGCTTACAGAAGAGCCAGTGCTTTATTGCAGTCACTTTTCAAGGCAGCTCTGGCTAGCTTTACATTCTTTTTATCTCCTTTCCTTTTTTTCTCTCATTATCTTCTTGCTTTCTTCTCTTCTCCTCTTAGTTACAGGATTCCGTGGATCATAGATCTCAAAAGTGTCTTCATCCTGCATGCTTGCATCTTTCACCTTTCTGCTTCTATCTTCAAATTGAAGTATATGTGACATCCTACAAAAACAAAACATAGCTCAAACTCAGTGAAAGAACGGAAAGTTATGATTTGTAATTATGATATTCATGGCAAGATGTTAGCGCTGTGACTTATTTTTGTGCATAGCAAAAAATCCAAGTTCTGCTGGGTTTTTTCTTGTTGTTTTTGTTTTTTCTTTCGTAGTAGACCCTAATATTAAAGGGTAACTACATTTGTGAAGACTCATTTTGAAAAATACAGCTAGAGTTTGCTCTGCTGGATTTTATTTCATGTACTGAACTCTTTTGTCTTGTCTTTTTCTATTTAACATATCTTCCCAAATGTACTGAATAATTTTCCCAGAAACAAGAAGTGCTTCTCAAGTTTTCCTATTAGTCACTTTGCACTTCCTTTCACCCTTAGGATTTTACAAAAGGGTGGGAGTGCTTGCATGGAAAACGCTATAAGTAGGTACACAGAAGATCAAAAGGGAATGCTGCATGTCCTGCAGCTCCACCTTAACTTGGTTCAGGTCATGGTTTTTAAGTCTTCGAATACCAGACTAAACGAATGCTTTGTTCAATCCAATGTTTTCTCTACTGTTGATTAGAAATTCCCCCCCCCAGTAGATATTTCCCCATTTCAGCAGATTTCCAGTAATCTGAAAACATCACCATTACAAGCTTGAGAAATGGGCCCGTGTGAACCTCATGATGTTCAACAAGGCCAAGTGCAAGGTCCTGCACCTGGGTCACAGCAACCCTGGTATGAATACAGGCTCGGGGATGACGGGATTGAGAGCAGCCCTGCTGAGATGGACCTCAGGGTACTGGTGGATGAAAAGCTGGACATGAGCCAGCAATGCGCGCTTGCAACCCAGAAAGCCAACTGTATCCTGGGTTGCATCAAAAGAAGCGTGGCCAGCAGGAGGTGATTCTGTCCCTCTTCTCTGCTCTCATGAGACCCGCCCCCCCTGGGTACTGCATCCAGCTCTGGAGCCCCCAGCACAGGAAAGACATGGACCTGTTGGAATGGGTCCAAGGAGGGCAATGAAGATGATCAGAGGGCTGGAGCACCTCTCCCGTGAAGACAGGCTGACAGAGTTCAGCCTGGAGAAGAGAAGGCTCCAGCGAGACCTTTTTGTGGCCTTTCAGTACTTAAAGGGGGCTTATAAGAAAGATGGGGACAGGATTTGTAGCAGGGCCTGTTGGGACAGGACAATGGATAATGGTTTTAAACTAAAAGAGGGTTGACTCAGACTAGATATAAGGACAAAATGTTTTATAATGAGGATGGTGTGACACTGGAACAGTTTGCCCAGACAGCTGGTAGATGCCCCATCCCTGGAAACATTCAAGGTCAGGTTGGATGGAGCTCTGAGCAACGCGATCTAGTTGAAGATGTCCATGCTCATTGCAGGGGGGTTGGACTAGATGACCTTTAAAGGTCCCTTCCAACCCAAATTATTCTATGATTCTGTGATAAGCTGGAGTCAGAAGTTATTTTTCAGCTGCAGTCAGTGGCAGGAAACCCTGGAGCTTATCAACTATGGCCTTATTAGCAGGTGTCACTGTCGTGAGAATTAATACAGAAGCTGTCACAAAACTATGAGTTTTAACTTGGACAAACAAAATCTTAGACAAAAAGGTAGATTATCTACTCTCCTTAAAGAAAAAGAGAGTTAGGAGGAAAAGAGCAGACAACCAAACCAAAGATGCTTACAAGTTGATCAATTTTAAACCTATTGGTGTTTACTGACAGGTTAGCAACACTTTTCATTATACAGTCGTAGCAGAGCTACTACTTAGGATCCAGCAGAACAAGTATAAAGTTCATGTGTTCCATTAGAAAAAAAAACAAACCCAAAATGGACTTAAAAGATTTTTCAGTGCAAACAAGCATGGCTAGGCAAAAACCCACTTACTTTTGGATTCTGTATTAATCAATTGCAAAAATGTCTGTGATGGGACAACTTAAAATAATGAGAACTATACTGAACTGAAGCTAAACATATCAATCTTTATAGAATTAGATGTCTTTGTCTACAGTCTTTGTGACAGAAAATCCAAGAAAAACAAGTCAGTATCAGAATGGAAGTTTTGTGGCCAATGAAACACTGCTTTATCAGTCTCTTGCAACATAAGAGGTCCTGAATTAAAAAAGGTTTTTCAAAGAGCTTTAGTGCAAATTTCCATACATGAAGAAAGGGAGGGAGGGAGAACCAGCTCAGTTACTGTCGATTACAATGTAGTACTATTAAAGAAACCAGACAAAATTCAAAGCTATAGACTATATGGGATCTGTTAGAATGTTTTAGAAAAATCTTTAAAACAAAAATTGAGACTTTTCATCACAATTGATTCTTGACATGTGTGCTTCATAAATCTCTTATTGTACAGCATTGTCAGCATGCCTGCATATTACCCTGTCCTATGGAAATACTTAAGATTTGTTTCCAGTGTATAAAACTTCAGTAGTTTATAACCCTGTACACACTACTAACACAAAAACTTATTTTTTTAGTCATATCTACAATTCAGAGTAACATAATGTACCATCAGAGTGACTCATGATTGCGTATTTGTAGTTTAATTATAAAAACATTGTCTCACAGTGGAGAGACTGAAGTAATTTATTTTAGTTAACATGCTTTCTGCATTTGTCATATTCTTCTCAACTTATTAAAGATGAGCATTTTAATTTTTTTTTAAGAACACATACCAAATCACACTATCCTACACTGAATTAAAATATAGGGCTAAAGAGATGGAGTCGTCCCTTGGTAAGTGGTTTTAGAGTGAGTTATACGAGTGTACATAAAAGTGTAGTCACACTCAGCCACTTCATCGACTTGGGTTTTCAAAGAATGCCACAGCACACTTGCAGGATACAACCAGTAGGAATTAAAAATAAATACATCTCTAATTCTTGGGTCAGGCCATACTGCATCCCAGGTAGTTTTCAAATTAGATGCAGTAGATTCAGACTAAGCAATGTTTACTTCTCTCCAAGAGCTGAAAGAAGTCATAGTCTCTGACTCCTATTCATAACTTTCCACTGAGGTGTTCCCAGCTGTGATTAAAAATAAGCCAATATTAAGAAACTTTTTGATATTCCCAGAATTAATTTCAGATGCAGCATCTCACAGGTAAAGCAAAATAAACACAGACTGTGGTGGAGATATAAAAAAATATTTTTCTGATGTGAACTTAAGCTTATTTTTTGCAAGTCACACATCTTCATGGGTAGTCCTGTTTTGCATCTATGTAAATGGTAAATCACTGTTTCAGGGACACCGCAGGATTACAAAGGTATGTGGATGTTCTCAGATGAGTGATATTCTCAGATAATGATTTTTGCAAGAGTCAGCAAAAAAGACTGCTTCTTCACAGTTACTAGCAGAGTAGCTCCTGTATGTCCCTTAAGCTGTAGTAACTAATACATCACCTGGGTGACCAGTTTGATTACTTTCTAGGAGGTAAAAAGTGGGAGAATGTTGGCTGCAACTGAAGCTAAAAAAGAAACTTCAGCACACCAGAAAGCATTCACAAACTATTACAGTATGATTAAGCTGTGTGTCCAATAGTCTAGCATAGCGCTGTGGTTTAACCCCAGATGGAGACTAGGACCACACAGCCACTCGGTCACTCCCCCTTCCCCCCTAGCAGGGCAGGCAGAAGAGGGAGAAAAGGATGGGAAAAGGAAAAAAACCTTGTGGGTTGAGATAAAGACAGTTTAATAGAACAGGTATGGAAAAGGAAAATAACAATAATAACAATAATAATAATAACAATAATAATAGTAAAAGAATATGCAAGACAGAAGTCACTCTCACTGCCTGGTGAATTGGCTGCGCAGCCTGACCCAAACAGTGATCATGGTTTCCTGCCCCTTGGCCAACCCCCACTTACATACTGAGCATCACGTCTATGATATGGAATATTCCATTGGCCATTCTGTTGTTCTGCCTCTGCTCCTTCTCAGCTTCTATGGGAAGCTGAAAAAGGTCCTTGAATACTATAAACATCACATAGCAACAACTAAAACAATACATGTTATTGACATTCTTTTCATACCAAATCTGAAACAGCAACCATGAGAAAGAAAATTATCCCAGCTGAAACCAGGATACACAGGCAACACCGTATTTGCCAACTGTGCATCAAAGAACGAATGCCACCTAAACAGTGCTCTCCAGGCAGACTGAACCAGTTTATTCAGGAGACAGATTATGTTCTTTTGAACTATTCTAGTGAGATGGTACTTGTAAGAAAAGATATGATATACAGTAATCCCTCTGATTTTGAGATGTGTAAACCATCCACTGGATCTGAACCATATGCCAGCTGCTGACAGGTGGCAGTCATGCTAAGTATAGCATAAAGAGAAGTCTAGTATCACAACAGCTCTTGCCTTTCCAGAACCGCCCCTTCGGAGAAACCTAAGTGGCAGTCAGTGAACCGATTCATTTTGAATCTCACCAAGAGCAAGGAAGCACCATGCTTTTGCACTAGTGATGAAGCTTGGATCTCCAGGTACAAATGCACTGCATGTATCTGTGATTTTTGTACTAACTGAATAAAAGTGCAAAGCTGCATTTCTTAATTCCACACTTACTTATCAAACTGACACAGCTGCTGGCTGTTATCAGCTCACCTGCTTCCCATTCAACCTTCCTTGCACAAGTGACTCTACATCGTGTGCCCTTTGGTGCCCCCGCCGCATCAGAGGAGAGCCCAGGACATTATCTCACACTCACCTATGTCAGCATTTTGAACAGCTGAGCTTTGTAGTAAATCATCAACAGGTATGGACAAAAGTTATGTTCTGCCAACTCTGTTGTGAGGGTAGTAGCTTTTGGCAGAGAGGCAGTAACTTCTAAACTAGTTTTAGCCAGGATTCATTTGGAGGTGCCTGCATAAAACATGGCAGCTGGTGATGACATATCCTTACTTTCTGCAATCAGCAGGCACCAAGAAAAAGTAATACACAGCTTTTCCCTTTCCAAATCCAGAACCTGATGTTACTAAAAATGCAT